ACACACACACACACACACACACACACACACACACACACACACACACAAGGAAAGAGCAGCGATCATTCTAAACTCTTTTTGGGGACCAACTTCAAACATACAGAGGGAGAGAAACTTTGGAAGCTGACATGCAGGGGAAGTCAGCTCCTCAATATGATTGACTCCAGCTTTGGGGGAGGGGAGAGAAACTTTCCCTTGAATGGGATCAGGAACTCTTTCTTTGTTGAGCTGTGATCTCATCTCACTACTGTCTAAAGAGCCATTCTCATATTCTCATATATATAAAATTTCTAATTTCTGTTTGCCTTCTGCTTGGGAAAAATGGGTTTACTCATTTGTGATGGTCTTTTGTAACCAGAGTTTTGTGGGAAGGGGTGAAGATGAAAGCTTAGAGCAACTCTCCCCAATTTAAAGGGTAATGGCCAGGAAAGAAACTTTGTTCTGAACCTACATACTCCTAGACTAGCAATATGTAGTGGGACAGATAAATATAATTCTACTCTTTTTTTTTTTGGCTAGGCAACTGGGGCTAAGTGACTTGACCAGAGTCACACAGCTAGTGAGTGTTATGTGTCTGAGGCCAGACTTGAACTCAGATTCTCCTGAATCCAGGGCCAGCGTGCCACCTAGCTGCCCCATATTACGGTACCCCTTTTGGATGCTGAGGAAAAGAGTGCCGAGTGTCCCAGCCTTGCTGTGCTCTGGAGATTATCTCTCTCTCTCTCCCTCCTGCTATCCTGTTGGCTTTCCTTCTCTCCTCAAAGATAGTTCAGACTTCAGATCATACCAATGCCTTCCTAAGAATATCTGTTTAGACAATCCATTTGGACATTATATCTTACACAGGCAGCACATAGACCCTATACACAAAATAGAAGCTGAACCTAAACCAAAGCCCACATCTCCTACCAGGTTCAGAGCGACCTTCAATGCAGCCGAAGATGCCAATTATGGGAGTTGAGGTTCGATGGTTGTTGACAACAAGGCGCAAAGTTGGCCCAGGGCCCAGACGGTATGGAGTGTCAGAGAGAGTCCCTTTCCACTCTTGAGGGGCCTCAGGGCCTGACAGCTTCCTAGGAGCAGGAACTAAGTCAGGGAGGTAAGACAGCTCTAGAACAGGCCCAGGGAAACAACAGGGTTGAGGGAGAAGGCCACAGACCTATCACAGAGATTTTGCCCCTAGGATCTGGAGGTCAAGAGGGGGTAGGGGCATAGAAAAAGGTGAAGAGATAGAGAGGGAAGATGAGAGAAAGAGGGAAATGGAGATGACAGCCAGAGATAAAGGGATAAAGAGAAAGGGAAAAGGGGGCTGGGGTGGGACTGAGAAGAGGAAAAGAATGGAAAAGACAGGTCTTTTTTCTTTGGGTCTTGGCATCCTTGTGATCAAGCAGAACTCAAGGCTTTTTTCCCTCCCTGCCTTCCCCTACTCACCTCAGCAACTGGGCACTGATGCTGGCACTGATGGGCTGTACTGGGATACTAGGGAGGCCAGAGGATTCCACAGGTGGGAACTGGGTTTGATTAAAGGAGGGGAAGCCAGGAGTATAGGGGTCCCCTGTTCCCATGTGAACCTGTTGGGGGAGTTGGGGCATAGCTGGCAAGGACTGAAACAGATCAGGGCATCATCCTTATCCTTATCTCCCTCATCTCATTCCCCACCCAGTCCTCCTACATGAACCACAGAGTCTAGGTAGCATTGGACTTGGCCTCATGCCTGGTCTTCCTGAGGATGTCAGGATCCTGAAAAGCAAGAAGGGCCCTTTGATTCCCAGGTATCAGACTCACATGTCCATACACAGCTGTGTGGTTAGATAGCCTCAGCTTCTTGTGGGGGTCTGGGTGGATGTCAGCAGGGTCTGGGTAGATGAGGACACCCAGAGCCCCAAAGGCCTCAGCATTCGACACCTGGTGTAGGAGTCAGGCCACATCATTTTCCTGAATCCACCTGCATCCCACTTCCTAGTTCTCAGACCCTCCTGAGTCCTTGCTACACCCCTATGTTTTCCATTTCTGAACCCCAAGAATCCACATCCTGTTTCCGGTACTCCCCACACTTATTGTTTCTCCAAAACCCATGTCCAATTTCTCTATAATTGTTCCTACTTCCCTACCAGCCACTACTTCCCTGTTTCTTTGTAAGTTGTTTCCTCTTTCTAAAGATTTTTTTTATTCTTTCTGTTCCCTTGCATTGCCTATTTCCTAATAATAATAACAACAATCGTAACAATAATAGCTCACATTATAGAGCACTTTAGGGTTGTAGAGTGCTTTCACATCTGCTATCTGATTGGATCCTCACAAGAACTCTGTGAGAGAAGCAGGGCAGGGACTATTATTCTTCATTAACAGAGGAGGACATTGAAGCTCAGAGAGGTTAGAAATTAGATTTCTCTAAGTTCACACAGCTGGTGAGTGACAGTCAAAACTTGAACCCAAGTCTATTGGCTCCAAGTCTGAGGCTCTTTCTGATTTCTCTGCACTGGTTTTCTATGATAAGATCTCTACTTCTAGCAGACTTGTTGAGAGGGAGTGGAAGCTGGTACGATTGGGTTGCTCTTCCCAGCGTTTGCTACCTGGGTCTGTCCTCCCTCTTCAGTCTCTACTCTTCCGGAGAGGTCCCTCACCTTCTCAGCAAAGCTCACATGTCCTATTCGCACCAATAGTAGGTGCCCCTTGGGGTCCAAATTCTTCTCTTGGAGAGCTTCTATATCCTTCATTCGCCCATAGTTAGCATAAATGAGTCCTCCCTGCAGAGTCCAGCAAGGCAGACAGTGACCAGGTCAATAGACTGCTTCCTCCGACCCCACCCCCGACTGAGCCTCGCCCCATGTAAGGAATGGAAAGGTGCAGAACTGGAGGGCAGTACCTCTGGGACCAAAGGGAACTAGGAGAGGGTAGGGAATCTGGGGAACAAGATGTGATAGGTGGGGCTGGGAAGGAACATCTGGGCCCCAGGAAACCCCCTTACAACAGCACTGCCTTTGGCACTGTAGGGACAGTAGACATCAGGATCTTCCAACTGTAACTCTCTCAAAACATTGCCAGACCCATCGACCCAATGCAGTGTGTTTGGCTGGACCCTGTGGTGGGAGAAAAGTCAGGAATCCTCCCACCCCTCACCCTCTGTCTAGTTACCCTTGTCCCACCAGACCATACTCTCTTTCAGAGCAGAACCAATGAGGCCTAACATCGCTCCAACTCACGGGTCAGGGAACTGCAGCCCCACGTAATGAGTATCCATCCACACGTGGTCTAGCTTCTGCTGGGAGAACATATCTCGGATCTGGTGAGATAGAGTAGTCATTCCAGGGGAACCTGAGGATCGTTCCAGAAGGCTGATGGTCCTGTTTGGGGAGAACGGGGCTGGAGGGCAGGACATTTGGATTCTGGGAAAGGACTGATCAATGAGGGATTAGATATCTGCCCCTTACAAAGAAATGTAAGTACTTTTGTCCTAAATCACTCCCTATCTCAGTTATTGTCAATTTCCACTGGCTCCTTTTCTTTCACCATCAAACATTTTCAAATCTCCTCAGTCCCCAAAACAAAATTTCCCTCCATCTGTTAGCTCTCCCATAATAATGCATGTCATTTACTTCTCCATCCACCACTCAATAAAAACTACTCCTCCAATGCTCACGTCTCCCAAATCTACATTTCCTGAGTCCTTCCAGTCCTATACCTCCATATGATACTCTATATGATATATGATACTCTATATCAGTGGATGGATTTCCCCACGCCAAAGAAATCCCAGGTCTAGAACCCTCCCCGCACCTCCACCCTCAAAAAAAAAAAAAAAAAGACTTGAGGTTTAAGCACAAGAAAGACTCTATTAACAGAAGAGGGAAGTCAAGAGGAAGTTTCAAGGCATGTTCAATTTGAGGAACTTGGGGGATATCCAAAGGCTATACCTGGGATTTCTTTGGTGTGGGGAAATTCATCCACTGATACAGGTCAGCAACTCCTATGTAATTTATAGTCTCCAAAAGTTGTCACCAATTTCTGTTACTCATGCTCAAACCCTCTGTTTTAGATATAGCGTCATAATAGTCATTCACATTTACATATTGCTTTAAGGTTTATAAAGCACCTTTCTCACAGCAAACTGATATATTGCAAGTACTATTTCCAGTTCACAGATGGGTAAATGAGAATAAGAGAAGGGCCTCACAGATCACCTAGGTCAACTTTCTATACAGTGCAGAGAATCATTCTACAACTTCCCTGGTGAATGGCTGATCCGGCTTTGCTTGAAGACTTCCTGTAATAGCAACATCACTACTCCACAGTGAAAGCTGTGCAACAGCTCTAGTTCTTTTTTTAAATTAATTTATTTTGATTTATCAACAGTCACTTCCATAAGCTTTTGAGTTTTAAATTTTTCTCCCCTTCCCTCCTGACCTCCCCTCCCAAGAAGGCGCACAATCTGATATAGGCTATATGTAAATATTCTTATTAAACATATTTTCACATTAGTGATTTGTAAGGAAGAATTAAAACCAATGGGAGGAACCACAAGAAAGAGAAAACAAAACAAAATCGAAGAAAAAAAAATACAGCTCTAATTCTTAAGAAGCTGGTCCTCCTATTGGGCTTTCCTATAACTTCCACTGTTTCAGCCCTCTGAAGAAAGGAAGGAAATAAGCATTTACTAAGCTTCTACTATGTGCTGGGCGCTGTACAAATATTATCTTATTTGGTAAGTGCTAGTATTATACCTATTTTACAGAAGAAGGAGTTGAGGCAAACAGAGTGACTTGCTCAGAGTCACATAGCTAATAAGGTGGATCTGAATTTAAGACTTCCTGACTGCAGGCCCAGTACTCTATCCATTGTGCCACCTAACTGCCTCTCCTAATAGGAGAAGAATGGGATTATGAGTCAAGAGTTCTAGTCCTGGCTGTGCTACTAACTTGACTGAACTTTTCTCCCATCATGGGGTGCAGACCTGGACTGATGTATCTCCCAGCTGTATACCCCTGAGCAGCTGGGGCAGTGCATCTGTTATCGCTGGCCCAACCTTGCCCATGGGGAAAAGAAGGGATGTCAGCTTGGGATGGAAATGGAACCATGGACAGGGTTCGTGACTGATTATGTGCAAAGTGCCCAAATCCGAAGCAGGTCAGGAAGGCATTGGAGACCGAATCTTCTCTGTGATGAAGTACTCTTGATTTGGAGACAATAGTTCATGAACTATCTTTACCATATCCCAATGTGCTCCCCAGATCCCCAGAAAATCTAACCTATGGAGCAGTACAGTGTAAAACTGGCTGGTTTGGGAGTCTGGAGATCTTGAGGCTGCCCTCTACTAGCAGCCTAGCTCCCACATTATGCATGTCACCTGAAGGCAGCTGGTGTGAGCAGGGCCTGGAGTTAGGAGGATCTGAGTTCAGATCTGGATTCAGAATCTTCATAGCTGTGTGACCCTGGGTAAGTCACTTAACCTCTGTCTGCTTCAGTTTCCTCAACTGTTAAGATGGGGATAATAATAACACCTATTTCAAATAAAATGATATAATATTTGTAAAATGCTTAGCATAGTGCTGGACACATTGTAGGTGCTTGATAAATGCTAAGTTTCCTTCCTTCCTTCCTCATGAGGGAGTAAATTCCCCTTCTCTTGAGGTCTTCATGTGAAACCTGGAAGATTACTAGCTATAGAAATCATACAGGGTATTTTTTGTGAGATCCAGGGTGGATCAGATCATCTAAGAAGTCTCTCTGACCTCTGAGATTCCAGTATTATTCCCTGATATTGGAGCCCAGGGCTCTATCCTAATTACATTATAGAAAGGGCATTGAATATAAAATGAGGAAACTTAATTTCAAATCCTGCTCAAATACTTTTACTACCTATATGACCCATGGAACCTTTAGTAATTCATCTTAACATTTCTGGGCTTCAGTTTCTTCCTTTTTATAAAGAGGGGTACATCAAGCCAAAATGGCTGCCTGAACAGAGGCAGGCAGCCCAGCTCCCACACACCTGCTCGAAATCTAAAACAGTGTTAAGTGACTTGCCCAAGGTCAGATAGCCAGTAAGTGTCTGAGGCCTGATTTGAACTCAGAAAGAGGAGTCTTCCTGACTCCAGGCCTGGCACTCTATCCACTGTGCCACCAGTGATACTGGTCTTCTTACTGGTCCTCAAACAAGAAATTCTGTCTCCTAACTCTAACATTTTCATTAGACGTCTCCCATGCCTGGAATGTTTTCCCTCCTCATCTCCACCTCGTGGTCTTCTTCAAGCCTACCTAAAATTTTACGTTGTACAGGAAACCTCTCCTGATCCTCCTTAAGATTGGAAGAAAGAGGAGAGTAAAAGGAATGCATTTGTACAGAAAGGAGGAAGAAGGGGGTAGAACTTGAAGTTTCTCATAACTGAGATATAGGAGAAGAAGAATGTGTGAACATGGAAGAAGGGTTAGGGGGAGGAGTGTGCATCAGATAAACCTCACTCTTATCAGAACCTGACAAAGGAGGGTTGAGCACATCAGAGAAGTTAGCATAAACTACATCAAACTCATTAGAAACAGGTGGGTACTGGGAGGGGGAAATTAAAAGGAAGAATCATACCAATGAAGGAATAATTTCAAGCCATACAAACTAGCTATTATCATTATAGGGCAGCTAGGTGGCACAGTGAATAAGAGTGCCAGGCCTGCAGTCAGGAAGATTCATCTTCCTGAGTTCAAATCTGGCCTCAGACACTTACTAGCTATGTGACCCTGGGCAAGTCACTTAACCCTGTTAGCCTCAGTGTCCTCAACTGTAAAATGAGCAGGAAAAGGAAATGGTAAACCATTCCAGTATCTTTGCCAAGAAAATCCCAAAAGGGGTCATGAAGAGTCTGAAACAACTGAACAATATCGTATCAATTACATATTGATATAATTATTGTATTGGGTTATATCAGTCTGCTTCTGGATTCCCATGATTTTTTGAATGGGGCTGCCCAGTGTTCTTGGACATTGAGGTGTAGTTGAAAGAGCATAGAATCTGGCCACAGGAGAACTGAGTTTGAGTATGGCTCTACCACTTACTAACTTTGAGTGTGACCTTTGTTAGACATGTCATTTAACCTCTTTGGGTTCTCAGTTTTCTCACTTAAAAATGAGAACAGCTTGTCCAGTCTCTTTCACAGGGTTGTTAGTAGGAAAGTGCCTTGTAAATCTTAAAAATCTGTATAGAAATATGACATTTTGCATTGTTAAGCTTATCCTTTAGCTAAGGCTCTGTCGGTGCCAGTCTTTGTCAGTGCCAGTGATGTTCACATCATCATCATCATCATGTCAATAGCCTCTAGTCTCTCCTCTCTCCCTTCTATCCTCCGTATAGCCACCAAAGTGATATTCCTAAAGAACAAGCCAGGGGCAGCTAGGTGGCACAGTGAATAGAGCACCAGCCCTGAAGTCAGGAGGACCTGAGTTCAAATCCGGCCTCAGACCAAACACTTGACACTTACTAGCTGTGTGACCCTGGGCAAGTCACTTACCCCCAATTGCCTAAAAAATTAAAAAAAAAAAAAGAACAGGCCAGTAAACTCCAGTGGCTCCCTATTACCTCTAGGGCCAAATACAAACTCCTCTATTTAGCATTTAAAGCCCTTTGCCACCTGACTCTAGTTTACCTTTCCTACTCCTTCATGAACTCTATAGCCCAGTCAAACCATCCTTCCTGCTATTCCTTATATATACCACTACATACTTTTGCACAGATTGACCTTCCATGCCTGGAAAGTCCTATAAGTATGTGGAGACTATTGGTATCATGGCAGTCCCCAGCCCCAAGTCTTGTCTATGTTAAACACACCCAGTTTCTTCTTCTCGACTTCATTTCATAAAGGTTCATCCTCAAGGTATATGTGGGATGAACATCACTATCACCTTTACATCTTTATATCTTTACATGATATCTCCAGAAGATGCTATTATCCCAAACTCACCATGTCCAAAATGGAACTCTTTACCTTTTCCTGTAGAGCAAGCATTGTTCCCACATAGCTCATTTCTGTCAATGTTAACTACCCTTCTGCTAGTCTCCCAGACTACAAACCTAGGAGTTACATTTGATTCTTTCCTCTCCTTCATCCCCTATATCCAATCCAAGTTGTTACCAACTCTTATCATCCTAGTCTTTCAAATATCTTTAGTATTCATCTTCTCCTTTCCACTCCTACTGCAATTACCTTAGCTCAGGTTCTTTTCACCTTGCACCTGGGCCACTGTAATAACTTGGTCTTACAGCTGGTCTTATAGGCTCTGGGCTCTTTCCACTCCAGTTTTTCTGCCTCAGTTTCTCTGTTCTCTAGGTATTCACTCTCTCCATCATGAGTGGAAAAGAGAGGAGAAAACTTCAGATATATACTCACCAGTTGGTCCTGATTTCATCACTGCCATGCATAACGGTAATCTGACCATGCTCTGGCCAGTCCCTGGCTTCTCCAACCTCTTCTGGTCGATGAACACAGATTGACCAGGGCCTCTTACAGAAACTATTCTCTTCACAAGTAAACACACACACACACACACACACACACACACACACACACACACACACAGTAGATAACCTGTCCCGCCCTGGCTGGAGCATCTTCACAAAATGAAAATAGATAAGCAGGACTTTTGGGAGCCAAGATGGTGGAGTAAGCAGTAAATCACTGTAGCTCTCTCATATCCACCTCCAAACAACCAAACAACCATAACAAAGCACCCAAGAACAAATCCTAGAACAATGGAGCCAGCAAAAAGACAGGGTGGAATTAGCTTGGGAGACTTGGAGGATTGGCAAGAAAGGTCCATTTCACTCAGGTAAAAAGGGAGTGCATTCGAGGACAAGAAGAATCCCAGAAGCCAGCAGCAAGCCCCTTCTCAGCAAAGCAGTGAGAGATTCTGAGCTGCAGTGTGTTGGAGCAGGCAAACTCCAGTACCAAGACCCACACATGCCCTAGAATAGTCAAGGGAACCAGCAGACTCCAGCTCTAAGAACTATCATGTGCTTCAGTACAGCCCCAGCAGGCAGGCATCCTAAGGTGGCCAGACCTCCAAGTGCTTCAGCATTGCGCCTGGTAGGTGTCCTACAGCAACTGGACCTCCATGAGCTCTGGTGCAGCTCCAGCCAGCAGGCATCCTCCAGGGGCCAATGCTTCATTGTAACCCAGGGGAAATACAGAAAAACCCCACCTGGCCTCAGCACATGCCAGACACCACCACTAGGACCCCAGCTCAGCACTAGGTAAGATGCCAGACCCCTATAGCCTCCAGCAGCACCAGCCAACCCCCACCCTACTCCCACAGCATAGCACCAGACATAAGGGTTCCCCATGGACCTCAGGACAACATCAGTACAGCACCAGGTAAATAGCCAGGGCCTACCCTGGGAGCAGAGCTCAAATTTAAAAGAAAGGGAAAAGGGCAAAAAAGGGGGGTAGGGATGAGCAGAAAACAAACAAACAAAGAATCTGACCATAGAAAATTATTATGGTGACAGAGAAAAGCAAAATGCAAACTCAGAAAAGGATAATAATGTCAAAACATCTATGGGCAAAACCCCAAAGAAAAACGGAAAGTGATCTCAAGACTAGAAAGAACTCAGAAAAGAGCTCAAAAAGGAGCTTAAAAATCATATAAGAGAGGTAGAAGAAAAATGGGGAAGGGAAATGAGAGTGATGCAAGAGAATTATGAAAAAAGATTCAACAATTTGGAAAACTGCTTAAAAAGTAGAATTGGTCAAACGGAAAAGGAGATACAAAAATCCATTGAGGAAAACAACTCCTTAAAGAGTACAATTGGCCAAATTGAAAAGAAAGTATAAAAACTAATTGAGAAAAACAAGACCTTAAAAGTTAGAATTAGGCAAGTGGAAGCTAATGACTCCAAGAGACAGCATGAATCAATCAAACAAATTCAAAATAATGAAAAAAATGGAAGAAAATGTAAAACACCTCATGAGAAAAACAAACTGACCTGGTAAATAGATCCAGGAGAGACAATAGCAAAATCATTGGACTACCTGAAAGCCATAATCAAAAGGAGGACCTGGACAGCATCCTTCAAGAAATTATCAAAGGAAAACTGCCTTGATGTCCTGGAAACAGAGGACAAAATAGACATTGAAAGAATCCACTGATCACCTCAGGAAAGAGATCCCAAACTAACAACCCCAAGGAACATTATAGCCAAGTTTCAGAACTATCAGGTCAAGGAAAAAGTACTATAAGTAGCCAGACAGAAGCCATTCAAATATCAGGGAGTCACAATCAGGATCACACAGGACTTGGCAGCTGCAACATTAAAGTATTGGAGATCATGGAACATGATATTCCAGAGGGCAAAAGAGCTAGGACTACAACCAAGAATCACTTAACAGGCAAAATTAAGCATAATATATCAAGGGGAAAATGGTCATTCAATGAAATAGAAGGATTTCAAACCTTCGTAAGAAGAAGACCGGAACTAAATAAAAAATTTGGCCTCTAATATCAAGACTAAAGAGAATCATAAACAGGTAAAAAGCAGGGGAACTCAGAAGGGATTCAATAGAGATAACTGTCTACATCCCTACATGAGAAGATGATACTTGTAACTCTTAAATATTGTATCACTAACAGTATAGATAAAAAGAATAAACATAGACAGGATTGTTGTGAGATTAAAATGAAATATTTGTAAAGTGCTTTACAAACCTTAAAGTGCTATAAAAATACCAGTTATTATTATCATTATCACCATCATTATCCACACCAGAGTTGTAATTTGGATTTTCTTCATTTGGGGGACAAAATTAGTGTGTATATGTTACCCGGAGTGGGAGGGGGAAAACGAAAGAGACCTCAAACATAGATGCAGTCAAGATGGAAGGGGAGCAGTCCAGCCTTCATTACCAAGGGAGTTGCCAATGGGCAATGGAGAGCCATTTTATTTTATGGAGATAGCAGTCATCTAGGGAAAGAAGCAGTATACCCTCTGACTATCAGAGTCCTGAGGCAAGTTATATACTGTTTGCATCTTTGTAGCATTAGCACAGTGCATTGTACAGAGATATTTCTCAGTGAACATTAACTGAGGGGAGGGAAAGTAAGCTGCCTAGATACCGGGAACTGATGTTGAATGAGTCAGGAACCATGGGATTGGAGGAAAAGATATCTGAGTATCCAGTTAGGAGGAAGGGTGTGAGATTCTATTTGAAGTGCTGAAGATCTAATCCTGGGTCTTACCTGATAGAACTTTTCAGTTGCTCCTCATCCAAGTATTTGTGGAACATATCTCGAAGGTCAGCCCAATACAGGGTAGAGTCACTGTTGTCTGGATTCAGTTCTTCATCACTCACTTCTGACACAGAATCCTTACAAGACTGGCATGAACCCCGAAAGGCAATGTAGCCGAAGAGGAAGGCTGGGATAAGGAAAGCCAAGTGATTGATTTACCTCTAATGTTTCCTTTTCCTTTCCCTCCTCTTCCAGGACTTGAGTTCCTGCCATCTCCCATCTTCCTGGGCTCTCTCTAGGACCATGTTCTTCCCTCCTTCACTTTACCCTCTTGAGACTGAGACATTCAAGAAACTAGCTCTTCCCCAAGACCACTTACCCCTTCTTTGTTCACCCCTTCATCATTCTGCCTCTTCCACTTCAGGACCAGACTCCAGAGTCCAGACTCCAACCTTTCTCAAACCCCAGATTTAACCTCTTCTTCACGGGGTCCTCCACTTAATCTCCTGGCCCTCTCCTCACCTCCCAAGCTCATTCGGACTGGGGGGCAGAGAATTTGTTCTTACCCACAGTAAAGACCAAGAAATTGAGGAGTATAAGGTGGGTGATTATCTTGGGGGTCAGATTCTGCCTCCCACATTCCCTCTCCTTCTGCCCCTGTTTGTTTGTGGTCTGTAGCTCCATGTGCATGATGAGAGTGGCTGGATCTTCTTCTCCTTCCTCTTGCTTCTCATCTTCCTCCAACTGTTTTCCCTGGTCCTCTTCTACTTGTTTGTAGATGGTATAGGAATGGTGGGAAGACAGCTCTTGATGCTGAGAGTAGAGGGACCCTGAGGTCAGTGGAGGGCTAGATGGACAGAAACCCATGGCCTTGGGGAATTGAGGGAGGGGACAATATTTGATGAGAAGAGATGGAGATGGAGGGAGAGGACACTGGAATGGGACAGGACAGAGGATGGAGAGACAGGTGGATGGTATAGGAAAGGGAGATGGGAGAAGACAATGCAGAAGAAATGGGGAGAATAGGCTGGGGAAGGAGAGGGATAGCTGATGACAGGGTTGTGTGTGGTTTGTGTGTTTGTCCTTCATTCTTGAAGAGGACTAAGACATCAGGAAGATGAAGCCATGACTTGAAATTGAATTGGATTTGAGGGAGGGAGGGCTGTGCAAAGTCACCAGCCTCACTTTCTCTTCCAGAACCATCTTGGTCCAGTTACCAGATATAGATCAGGAGATGGCCCAGTGGATGACAGGGAGAAGTGTGATGGTGGCATTGGTATAAGACAGGGAGTTGAGGAAGGACAGAGAGATAGGGAAGGATAGAGAGAAAGTGTAGGACAAGGAGATGAGGGAGCAAAGAAGATTGGGGAAGGCACAGAACCATAACTAGGGTGAGGCAGCTGAGGCTATCTTAGTCACTAGTATCTGGGGGTACAATTTACTCCCTGCTATAATTTGGAGGCTGTCCTGTCCTTCTCACCTTATCTACTGACTTATGCCCTGACACTGGTTGGGGGGAAAGCAAACCTGGGTTAGGGCAAGGGACGTGATCACTGGTGGAAGAGTTCAGGAGAGAGGTGGAAAGGATGGACTATCTCCTCTCCTGATGCTATTATACTAGCCTATATATATATGTAGGAGTTGGAGGATAGAGAAGGAAACAAGTTTCTCTTTCTCCACCATTATACCTGACCTCAAGATCTGTCTCTCCTAGGGACATCTGCCTTGTCACCTTCAAAACCCCTTCTCCCCTCCCCCTAACTCCCTACTGTTTCATTACTATCCAGCCTAGCCCTAGCCCTTTCTAGTCCTTATCTTTCACTGGCTGGCCTCTAGAATCCTCTTTTATTATGAACAAACTCTCCTCCACATCTTCCCATCCCCTATTCCTCCCACTTCCTGGAACTCACTGAAACCTAGCTTTCTTAAGATACTCTAGCTCATGGCTATCAAGAGTTCTATGGAACTAGAAGATAGATACCTGGAAGGAGACAGGAAGCACCAGGGGAAGAAGAGGACAGTTAGGAGTGAGGTGTTCTGCAACTCGGCATGGGGATGCAGATTGTTTCAGATTGTGGCATAGGGTGAATTTGGGTTGGGGAATAGTGTTTCCCTCCGGCTTCCAAAAGTCTTACCGCTTTCAAGAAGAACCCCCGAACCCTTTCCATCTGTTTGGTGTCTCCTCAGTGCTGTGCCTGAGGACAGGCCCCCAGGTCCCCTTAGCCCTAGCAGCTAAATCCTCACTGCAGGAAAGCGATTTGCTGGGCTTCCACCCCAACTTTCTGGTTGCTTTCAAAATGTCCAGTTTCTTTAGGACCCACATTCCCCCAGGGCCCTGGGGAACTAAGTTGGGGGGGGAGAATAAGTCATAAATATCAGGAAACTCCACCCCTCTCTCCTCCCACCCCCACTCCACCCCTTCTCTGCAGTAAAATCAATTTTCTGGTATTGACAGACTTTGGCCTCTGGGTCCCTGCTGGAAGTGTGGTTGAAGGTGTAGGCAAGAGTGAGGGGGGTTGGGAGGTGAATTTAGGAAGGAGGTTGGCCCCTATTTTCCCTTCTCCATTGGCCTTCCTCCTATCCAGCCAGATAATCCCAACACCTTTCCTTGTACCCCTGGCACACTCATGCTTTCTACCTGCTCTGCTCTTTTGTCAAAGTCCCTAATGCCTTTTTTGGAATCTGAGAGTGTGCCCTGGGGCCCACACAGGAACCTCCCCTCCCCAGCTACCCAAGTCCAAGCACTCTGTACTCTGGCCTCTGGTTTCTCCTGGGTAAGACTCCATATCCTGTTATACATTAACTTGTCCCATTCCTGTCCCCCATCTCTGTCCCAGCCATCTCTCCTCACAGGGGTTGTTTGGTTAGTAACTGCAGGTCTGTCTCATGCTAAGCTACATGGTATGTAAGTGTCTGTGTTTCATACCACAGTGACATGGTGGACAGATGGAAGAGTGTGTTCTGACATCCAAATCCTTGGATGGGGAGATAAGGGTGGCATGTTTGGGGAGAATGGTCTTCCGATCTTTTCATCCTGCCCCCTTTTTGCCCCTTTTAGGATGGGCCACTGGAGTATATCTACTCACTTCCACCTTTCTTGGGGGTGGAAATGGAAACTCATTTACCCAACTCATTCACTCACGTCAGTAATACTGTCTGGCTAAGCCAGAGTTATTATTGCTTCTGCTGCCATCCAGGGCTGTTGTGAGGCTCCGATTCCTTCTTGTTTCTTGTTCTGTCCAAGCCCTCCTTTCTCTTCTCCCTCCCATCTTTAGTATCATCTCCCTTCATTCATCTCCCATTCCTCTTAGATGGTCTCTTCCTTACCATGAGCCTGAGTCCAGACATCCAGGTTCTAACTCTTTTGGAAGAAACCACTGACCCTTCCTTACCCACCATTTCCCTACGGTTTTAAAAAAATGACTGACATACTGGTTATGTGACTCAGGGCAAATCATTTAACCTTTTCTGTGCCTCATACAACTTTCTAAGACTAGAAATTGCAGAACAAGTTGCTCATCTACATTGGCATAAGGAGATCAAGGCAAAACCAAAACGAAACAAAACAAAATGCAAAATAATAATAGTAAGTGATTTCTGGGCAGTTAAGTAGATAGAACACTGGGCCTGCAGTATGTAAGACACATCTTCCCAAGTTAAATCTGGCCTCACACACTTACTAGTTGTATGACCCTGGACAAGATCCATTTGCCTTAGTTTCCTCATCTGTAAAAATGAGCTGGAGAAGGAAACAACAAAGCACTCTGGTAGTGTTGCCAAGAAAACCCCAAATGGGGTCACAGAGTCAGACATGACTAAACAACAACCACCAAAACATTTATATAGTGCCTACTGTGTGTCAGGCACTGTGCTAAATGCTTTCCCTGGGAAGAAGGTACTACTATCCCCATTTTATAGATGAGGAAACTGAGACAAACAGATTTGCTTAGGGTCAAACAGCTGCTAAGTATCTGAGGCTAGATATGAACTTAGGTCTTTTTGACCCTTGGCCCAGTGCTCTATCCACTTAACTGCCCAGAAATCAAATTAAAAGGAGTAGGTAGGGTAGACTGAGGGCAGCTTGAGGAGTGTGTGGGAGAGGCTGTTTCCTAAGCTTTTATATGGGGGGCAAGAGCTTATCATGGGGAAGTCTTTTTTTTTTTTAAAGTCCTGGTTCAGGTAGCCCCTGCCTTCCTCTTGCCAGCTGCCCCCATGAAATCGTCGTCTTCTGTGTGACATTTGATGTAATGCTGGGATTGTGAGATCTTAGCTAAAGGTGGAAAGGACCCTGTGACCCTGCACCTCCCCACCCCAATCACCCCAGCCCTATCCTCCCCAGCAATTCCACTCTCTGGCTCTCCCTCCCTTCCCTCCCCAGGAGTCCCCTACTCTGGAGCTGGATTATTTTTCTTTCTTTTTTATTTTTTTAAAAACTTTTTTTATTTGCCAAACTGAAACATCACAACAAAAACAGTAGAGTGGGTCTAGTGGGGATTCTCTGTGTGTAGGGTGTGGGGGTGGGGGTGGCAAGTGTGTGAGAGAAAGAGAAAGAGAAAAAGAAAATGAGAGTTGGGGGGGCGTCCTCTCCCGGTAGTATTTGGGGGAAGGAGAGTTGGGAAAAGCAGGCTGGGATTCTTTCTCCTCAGACCCCCTTTTCCCTCTCCCTGCTCTGGGCTCTGCATCTCAGGGGCACTTGCGCTCCACACACTGCTTCCCTCCCTCCTCATACTCCTGTTTGGAGATCCACATCTGCTGGAAGGTGCCCTGGGAAAGGGGAATGCCTCAGAACTTGTAAGGAAAGGGAGATTTCTTCCCACTTTGAGTCCTATTCTTTCTTGTCCTGGCTTAGAAAGCCATTCCAGGACACCTCCTGCTCCATTCCCTTTAGTCCAGTTTTTCCCTTCTTCTGTCTTGGCCTCCTCCCTCACTCCCAGATACAAGGCCCCTGTCCTCCTTCCCCCACCATATTCAAAGAAAGAACCATGCCTTCTCCTTCCCCAGTTTAATCTACCCATCTGTGCTCTGGACTCAATCCTTGCTCCCTTAACGTCCCTTTCCTTTTTCTGCATCTTTAGTCCATCCCTCTTCACTGCCTTCTTGGCCCTCAAAAATGTTTAGGTCTCCTTATCCTAAAAAAATCTATCTATCTATCCATCCATCCATCCATCCATCATCCATCCATCATCTATTTATCTATCTATCTATCTATCTATCTATCTATCTTTCCTTAATTACATTAGCCTCTATAGCTACCATCCCACTTCCGTCCTCCCTTCACTTTCAAACTTCTAGGAAATAGCTGTCTTCATGACCAACTTCGTGGCACCACCTTGCTGAGTTCCTTCACCCTTGGCATGACAGCTTCTAACCCCTCCCTTCTACTGCAACAATTTTTTCTAAGGTTACTGATAATTTCCTAAAGGCCAAGTCTGAGAACATTTTTCTTTCTGTCTAAACTCCACCTGTTACAGTAGTCTTCACAAAGTAGACATTTGTGTTTGCTGGATTGGATTTAGATGTCCATTCTGTGCAAGGCAATGTTTGAGGTACCGTGGTGCTGTATTCCCCATACCTTGACCCTTTCCAAAGATCCTTCCTTGCTACCCTGTTCTCCTAGCCATTTGCTCCATTTTGAACCCCACCCCATTCCACTCCTCCACTTTATCCCATCCATCTTCTATTCTCCCCTTACCAGGGAGGCCAAAATGGAACCCCCAATCCAGGGGCTGAACTTCCGTTCCATGGTGCTGTTGCTGGCAATGAGTTTCAGCCGCATGCTCTGTAAGGAGAGAGGTCTAGGTTGGGGAAGTTAGGACACCCAGGTCCTGGGAGGGCCTGGTGCGGGGGAGGGCCTGGAGCAGTTACATGGAAAGAAAGGAAGAAGTGGGGATCTCCATATGGATCATCCCCCTTCCAAGGAGGGTAAATGCCTCAGACCTAGGAAGGAAGTCTGGCTTAGAGGAACAGAGAAGGGATGCAGGTAAGGAGGTGTGGGTCCTGAAAGTGGAGAGCCAGGATCCCTGGGACCTAAAGGGGTCCCTACCGGGGGTGTTTTCTGGGAGAGTTCTCGGTTGAGTCGGTCAGTAAAACCTTGCAACAGTGTGTTCCCTCCAGTGACAATGACACTGCCATAGAGACCCTGTGTGGTATGAGATGAGGATGAGCTAGTGTTGAAGAGGTGACTACTGCCTCAGCCCAACTCTCCTCTTCTCTTTGTCTTCATCCCACCTCCCAGTCCCACTCAAGAGGCCCAGGGGCAACTTCACTCACCGGTCGAATGTCTATGTCACACATCCCGATGCTGGTAGTCACTACATGGCCAACTCCCAGCATAGTATTACCTGACAGACCCTGGGGGAAGACAAGACACCTGGAGTTATAGCTGTCTGTCTACCCCATGAAGCATCCCCATCACCCTGATGACTCCACTGCCTCACTCCCATTCCCTTCAAGATCCCAAGGTCCAGCCCCGCCAGGCCAAACTCCCCTCTGACCCCAGTGTACTGCTCCAAGGCCCATTCCCCTCAGGACATCCCAGGACCTGCTTATCTCAGGAATCCAGAGAGGTAGTCTCCCAGTACCCCACCCCCACCCCCACCCCAGGACTCTGGCCCCACCTTGACATTGGAGGGATCAAACAGCCCCTCGGGGATGCGGAGCCTCTCAGCCCCATAATCTGTGTTGTACCCATTAGGCATCTCATAGTGTACTGTGGGCATCTGTGCAGCCACCCTGCCCAGGGCATAGGGAAAAGTAAGGTTAGTACAGTAGCTGGCCAGGAAGAGGTGTTCCTGGGGAAAACTAGTGGAGATGAAAGGCAATCTGGGGATGTTAGTGAAAGATGAGCATATGAGGGTGGCCCTAAAACTGTGAGTTCCTGCTTTCCTCTTGATACTAGCTTCAAACACTTCCTTCACCTTCCCCTTAGTCCTAGCCCTGGCCTTGCCTCAATCTTAGATGTGAGGAGGGGGGAGATAGGGGTACATAGAGCCACTGGCTTTCCCACACCAGAACCTGTTGTTTTCCTCCTGAGAAATAGGTGTTCTCCCCCACCATTCACCCTCCAGGGGCCCCAACCATGATATCCCAGCCAACAGTCCCAGCCCTTGCCCCTAGAGAATCTCACTTACTGCTCATCATAGGGAGAATCAGAGACCTGCAGCACAGAAGCTTGGAAATCCTGGATCACCTCCTATCCTCCAGGGAGGGGTTGAGGAAGATAGGAATCCCTGAGGCCTCACCCCAACTTTCCCTTTCCCTTCCCCAGGGCTGGGAAGTACTATAAGGGCTTGGGGAGCAGGGGAAGGAGGGACCAGGGAGGAAAGGGAAACCTGGAAGGGAGTGTGGAAGGGAGTTCTGGGGGCAATAGCAGTGACAGGGATAGAAGCAGAAGTCTGGGCCAGGGTGGGGCCAGGGCAGGGAAGAGGAAACAAAATGCCCCATGAGCAGGACTTTGGAAGTTGTAGGGGTATGGGCAGGGAAATCAAGAGTCTCAGGTGCCTCACATTGCACATGTAATTGTGCCAGGACTTGGACACCTGGGGTAGCTTCTCCTTCTTCTTCCAGTTTGGGGGAGCTCCTTCCCGGACTGGCTCCTGTGGTGGGGTGGAGAGGTACAGACCAATCCTCTTAACTTCACTCTACTCACTGTAGACCCTACCTTTTCTCCATCTTGGCTTCCTTTACCTCCCCCTCACTAGGATGAATTGGTTCTGGGAATACATCATCATCTAGTATATAACTTTTGTCAAGTGCAGTGAGGTGGGCGCTAGAGGTTTTGTTATCACCATTCTAAAGAAGAGGAAAGTGGAGCTCAGAGTAAACAATATCCATAGTCAAAAAACTAGTAGGTGGTGGAGGGGGAGGGGTGTCTGACTCCAAGTCTTACACTGTCTCTTTCCACTGCCAATGTCAAACTGAAGAGTCCACAACTGCCCCGGGTGCTCTAAGACAGAAGGGGTGAGAAGGGGCTCTGAAAGTCAGCCCCTGCCTCCCACCTCTCACTATTATTCATCCATGAAAACCTTAAAAAAAACCCTCAAAACTCTAGCTTTTCTGTGAGCAAACAAAAAGATGGCATTCATCCCATCCTGCCTTGGCATAGAGTCAAGAAAGGTGTGAGAACACCCCTAATTGTCCAGTATGCAAGGGGGTAGCATTCAACCTGATATTCCCAAACAGGAAACAAAAACTAGAGAAAAAATTCACTGGGAGGGAAAAAGAATGAGACAAATTGAGTCTCCTTAACAGTGGATGGACCAGAAATCCGATCTAGGTTCTGGTCTCAGCTTGTCTACCAATTCTCTGAGAGGCTCTGTGAAAGTCACTTCCTTTTCTGGGTCTCGTTTCCCCACATGTAAAGAGGCAGGATTAGATTATGTGATTCTAAGGTCTGATTCTGTCCTTGTGTCTAACATTCCATCATTAGAGCTTCAGTCTTTTGGGTCTTTAAGTCTCCTATTAGAATAAAGATATCTTTGGGATCAACTGCTAATTCCCTAATGTTGTTGTTGAAGAGTCTTGTCTGACTCTTCATGCCCCACCGTTTGGGGTTTTCTTGGCAAAGATACTAGAGTGTTTTGACATTTCCCTCTACAGCTCATTTTACAGATGAGGAAATTGCCACAAATAGGGTTAAGTGACATGCCCAGGGTAATACAAGCTAGTGTCTGAGACCAGATTTGAACTCAGGAAGATGCATTTTCCGGACTCCAGGCCTGGTGCTCTATCTACCTCACCACCTAGCTGCTCTTAAATCCTTAACAGGGATTACTTAATTGAAAGTCAGCTGGATGTCAAGTCTCTGAAGGAAAGGAATGGGACACAGGAAAGGAGCTGAAGGATCAGGGAGGCAGAATATTGGGAGTCAGAAAACTAAATTCTAGTTTTATATCTGCTACTGATTGGGTGATGATGGGCAAAGATATTTCTCTCAGGGCCTCAGTTTCCCCCATTTTTAAAATGAAAGGGTTGGACTAAGACAGTCTCTATGGTTCTAATGATTCATAGTTTTATAATGTCCCCCTATAGAGTATAAATTCCTTAAGGTCAGGAATTATTTTCTGTCTTTGTATCCCCTATGTTTGTCAACAGTCAAGTAGTAGGAACTTAATAAATGTGTTTTGATTGGATAGATTCTATAATTCCATGACTTTGATGACATGATGGTTATCTGATTCTCTGAGGGCTTGATGGTTCGATTGCTCTTGCATGGGTTCTTACCTTTGCTGCAATCATATAAGGCGGAATGATGTCAATGGCCATTTCCTGAAAGAGCTCTCGGCACTGCATGGAGATGAAGTCCCCAGCCAGGGGTGACTTCACGATGCCTAATAAGCAAGGTGGGGATTGGGGTATTAAATCTCAGGGATCTGGCTATGGAATTCCCTACAACCCCATCATCAAACACTTCAGCCCCTGATTCCTCCCCACCGGGGTCCTACCTTGCTGCAGGACATAGCCATCATGCACAGGGATGGCTGTGGTGTGGGTGGCCCCACTGTCCAACACCAGGCCTGTTGAGCGCCCATTTGCAAAGCTGGCCCAGTTGGAATAAGTCAAAGAGACAATAACAAAGTGAAGATGGTGCTGGAAGAAGCAGCCCTCTGACCCCCATTACTGGTCAATTTACAACACTCATCAGCCCTAGGCCTATTCCCTCACCCCTCCTTTCCAGGTCTCAGACTTTCCTTTCAGGTTCAAATTTCACCTCCTCCAGAAAGTCTTCCCTGAATGCCCCCAGCCTACTGAGGTCTCTGTCCTCTAGGACCTTAGAGTATTTGTTGCCAATACCACTCATTGAATTCTGATCACACCCACACACACACAACATGACATTACTAATTTGCTTTTCATGTATATTGTCTCCTCAACTAGATTTTAAGCTTCCTGAAGGTAGGAATCCTGTCTCCTACTTCTCTGTATACTTATTTCAATATTTTTTGAGGTCTGTAATTTTCACCCACACAGTAATATCTGCTTTCTTCCTTGGCAGGTGGCTTTTGAGAGATGTTGTGGCCAAATAATTCATTATTCTACAATCAGCTGGATGATGAGCCTCTCAGAACTTAGACTGGTTCCTAGATTTGCTGTTGTTGTTGTTGACTCGTGTCCGACTTTTTGTGACCCTGTGAACTGTAGCTTGCCAATACTTTCCATGGGATTTTCTTGGCAAGGATACTGGAGCGGTTTGCCATTTCCTTCTCCAGTGGATTCAGAGGTTAAGTGACTTGCCCAGGGTAACACAGTAAGTGTCTAAGGCTGGATTTGAACTCAGGTCTTCCTGACTCTAAGCCTAAGGGCTATTCACTGAGCCACCTACCTTCCTGTAGATCCCTAGACTACATGCAGTTCTCTGGGTATTATTTGCTAACATATTCATTGACAATTTTTAAAAGACACATTCCTCTTTCCTCTTCCCATATTTGTCTATCACTCCTTTGGCCAGGTCACTTCTTTGCCTTGCTATCCCCTTCCATTTCCACTCCCGTCCTACCCCCCTTCTTTGAGTATCATTTCTTCCTGCCTTCCTAGTCTGTGTTGGAGGTTGGGGTGGGGATGAATTAATGCGAGAAAGGAACTTCTCCTTCTCTTGGTCCTGCCATTCTGCTGTCCTTGAGCGTCTTAGCTGCTTGGGTCATTTCACCTGGCTGTTCCTCCCAGAGAAGTCAGGAGGGGTTAGGAGAAAATGCTAATGCTCAGTCCTCTATTGTGGGATGGGGTTTTAGCTCCTTAACCTTTGAGGGCACTCACTCCACCAAATCAGGCCCAGATTCAGCTTGCTTCAGCAACCAACTACCTTCCTCACTTGGTGCTCCCAGTGTGCCCCCATGACTCCCCTTTTTGTGGCCAGCCCAGGGGATACGCGGTGAGCACTGCTGTCTTGCACAGGAAGAAGGCAGGAATGTTGTACTGTTCGAACATTAGCTCTGTGAGTTTTTCCCTTTTGGCTCGAGTGTTCCACTATAGGAGGGAGGGAAGAGAGGATAAGGAAGGGTTTAGGTTGGAGATAAATACACTAAGATGTGCACACACGCACAGAGTAATGCACTAACATGCACCTACATATATATCCAAGTGGACATGTTCATAAACACTCAAACTTAGAGTGCCAGGGACCAGGCCAACTAACATAATGCAAAATGATCTTTACTGTCAAACCTCCTCCCTACCCCAAGTGAATGAGTCCAATCCCCATTCAGAGGGACATGGAAGAGGGGTATATGAATATGAAAATGAGGAACACTTGTGGAGAGGGTAGGTGGAGAAATGATGATTGGAGGAAAGGGGGAGAGAGGATTCAGTTTTGATGAAGATTTTGAAGAGGAGAGAGATGGGGTGGCAATTGGGATTCCAAGGTTGGGGTCAAATGTAGAAATAAGGTGATAGATGAAGGATTCTAGGGTAAGCTGGTTAAGATGGAGGACAGACTCCAGAGGCAAGGGGACCCAGACCTGGGAGTACATACCGGGGCCTCAGACATGAGTACAGGGTGCAGATTTGGCTCCGATTTGACATGTTTGCTGTAAGTGTGATCCAGAATGGCCCGGAAACACTCCCAGTCCTCAACTGGGCACCGGGACAGGAGGAGGAGACAGAGGCATGGGAGAAGAGGGGTGGTGAGAGAGGAAGAGACAGACAGATATGGAGGGAAGGGAGACAGAGAGAAGAGGGAGACAGGATGATAGTGAAGAGAGAGGAAAGTCAGGAAAAGGAAGACAGAGGGAGATTCAGAGAGAGGGAGAGAAAGGATAGAGAAAAGGAAAGATATAGAGAGAAATACAGAAAGAGCAAGAGACAGGCAGACAGATGTTTCAGGGGGGAGAGACAGTAAATGAAATGAAGAAGGAAATAGAGACAGACAAGAGGAGTGTGTGTCAGGATGTTTGTGTGAGAAAAAGAAAGACATAGACAGAGGTGTAGGCAAGAGAGGTGGGGAAAGGAGGGAAGAGAAAAATGGGGTGGGGGTAGGCCTGAGTAGAAAAGCCAGACCCCTTTCCCTACTCTAGGGACCTGGGAAGTGAGTATGGTTGAAGCTGGGGGAGGGGGGACAGAGAGGAAATAAGGAAAACTGGGTAGCCCTGGGACCTGGTGAGGGGAGGTCCTGATCAGCTTTGAAACAGCTGGCTGTGTATCTGGGGTGGGGGTTGGTCAGGGGCATACTGTGGTCATAGTGAATGGGACAGGGTCAAGGGCTGCAGCAGTACTGTCCCCAGGACTGGAGATTGGGGTCTCCCTTACTCATGCCATTCTTGAGGGGTGACATGACCTCAGCCCCATCCCGTGGCACATGCAGGGCATTGGTGTCGATGTGGAATGTTTTCCCCTTCTTCTCCTTCTCTCCATCCAGCTCTAGCCCACCCCCCTCCTCCAGCGTCAGCAACCCTACTGTTGTGGGGAAGTCAGCCTGGGGGGAGGAAGGGAGAGCAAATTACGGTCACCTTCTCTTTTCTCCACTTTACTTTATATCCCTGAACACCACCTTCCCAATTATCACATGCCTTTGTTCTTGCCAAACCCATCCCCTTCCCAGGGCTCACATCACCATTCTATTGAACCCATATTAGGACTTTCCCAAACTGTCAGGAGCCTTCCTTTAACTCCTTCAGGGTGTTTACATATGAAGGAAGGGGGTGGGGTTCTAGGGGACCAAGAGGGAGAAAAGTAGAACTGATGTGGACTTTAGGTAAGTTGGGGAGGGGGGACTGAAAGGCTCACCTTGGGGCAGTCCTCCCCAGCATACCCTGCTCGAACTGAGAAGGAACCTATGTCAAAAACCAGCGCTCCAACTTCATCTGTGTGTGTCCAGGGGGAGGGGGAGGAGATTGCAGGTCAGAGCAGAGGGGCTTTCCCTCCCCCAAACCCCACCTCAGAAGGCCCAGGGAGAAAAGGAGTTCAGGCAAGGGGACTCTCCTCCTTCCCCCAAACTCCACCTGAGGGAGGCCAGGTGGACATGAGGTCAGAAGGGAGGGAGGAGTCTTCTCCACAAGCCACAACTCAGATGGGCATTTTGGGCATGGGATCATCTGTGGGATTTGAGGAAACAGTAGGAACACAGACACTGGGAGATGTATGGAATGCGGACGTGGAGGGGGCAATTGTATTGGTGGGGGGCGAGGGAGCTCTTAGCAAACATAAGATCTGAGGTTCTGGGTTGGGGTGAGGGGCTGCCAGGGAGAAGGGTACAAGAGGTAGTCGAAGAGCAGCTGATAAGGGAGCAGCAGGAGCGCTGAGGGCCCTAAGGGAGGTGAGGAATGCTCGATGAATGCTGGTCACCGGACACTTGCCCTGCTGGTGTGAACCAGCTACCAGGAATGGAGGGCTGGGGCCACAGGAACTGGACACACCAGGCTAGGGGTGCGGTGTGAAATGACCTGGCTTGAAGGCCGGGGTCTCGGGGCTTGCTCACCTCCCCCATAGACACCTCCGCTCATGGTGGCTGCTTCCACTCCGGCTCCAGTTCCTTCGGTGGTTCCAGGCCGTGGACCCAAGCAGCAGCGGCGGGATCAGCACCGAGATAGCCGGACAGCTCCAGGGACCCAGGAGGTGGGGAGAGGGTGCTTGAGGACCGGCCAATCAGAATACCGGATCCCCCACCCCCACTCACGCTTCCAATTGGTGGGGAGAGCAGACAATAACCCAGGCCTGCGCCTCCGTCTTAAAGGGCCAAGTGCCCCCAGGAATTTGTGTCTGGGAGGGGAAGAGGGAGGGGGAGGGGAATAGGAGGTCGAGGCGGGGTCTGCTATGAAAAAGGGAGAGACACATAGGAAAACTCCTCTATCCTAAGATCAGGGCCCCGAGGTGAGAGTGGCGTGTGTGGTCTTTGTCCTAAACTAGGTGGGCTGGAGGGCTCTTACTGATTTAAATTGGACTGAGCCTGGAGTCTAACGAGCCAAAGTGGTGCTAACACAGGCTCTAGAGAATACTGAAGGCCAAAGGGTAAGAGAGAGAATGCCAAGGAACTGAGAAGGGAGAAAGGGAAGTAGTGAAGGAAGAAGTAGGGGGAGAAGCAGGAAAGAAACAGAACTGAAAGATGGAAGAATCCTCTCCTTCCCTATATCTAACCTTTAACTTGGGGACTCAACCTTTTTTTGTGTCATAAACCCCTCTGGCAGTTTGGTGAACAAAGTCTCAGAATGATGTTTTTAAATGCATAAAACATAGATTTACAAAGGAAGCCAATTTTATTAAAATAGTGTATATATATGTATATACACACTATACATACATACATATGTATGTATATGTATGTGAGTATACACACATATACATACAAAATTTAGAGACCCCAGGCCAAGAATTCCTGCGACTAAATTCAGGTCTGTTCCTCTTTCTGACCATTATGTTTCTCTGTTGGTTTTGCTCTTTATGAACCTTTTTGAAATTATGAAGATCTCTCCTTGTTTGACTCAGGAAATGATTTATAAAGTAAAAATCAAGTGGTTAGCTCAAGCGATTGATCCTGGAACCCTGACTTGGCTCCTCACTCTCCACTCCTCAAAGCACACTCAATTTGGTGCAGATGCTGGAGCACTGGAGGTGTTGTTTCCATAAGAAACCTGGAGGGAAAAAAATTTTAGGGGATTTAGGGGAAATATGTATTTAAATATTTTAAAGTTTTGTCATGTAGAATAGGGATTAGACATACTTGGACTCAAAGGCTCAATACAGACTAGAGCTAAAAGTGACCTTAAAAGTCATGGAGTCCAATTTTGAAGATACTGAAAGTTCAGTGACTTGCGCAGTGTGATAAAGCTATTAAGTGAGGTGTGGGATATTCCATCCTAGGTCTTCCTGACTCCAAGTCTACCGTTCTCTTTTCTACTCCATGGGAGCAATGGGAAGGTGGAAGCAGGGAGAAAAGAAAAAGACAGATACGGACACAAAGATACAGAGAGTGAAACACAGAGGCATATTCTGGCTAAATATAAATGTGACACCAGCTTCAATAGAAACTGAAATACTGTTACTGAATGAAAAGGCAATGGAATCGGGAGCGATGGTTGAATAACGAGTGTCTTAGGAAACTTGGAATTTAACTGTTCTGTAGGAGACTTAAGGGTTTAACTATTCTGGAGAAGCTGTTAACTGAGATGGATGAAGAAATGACAAAAGAAAACATATTTCTTGAGAGAACTGAATTTAATCCTTCAAAAGAAACATGAGAATTCTTGAAAATGTTTTAATTGGCCACTAGGGTAGTGCAGTGGCACTGGGCCTGGAGTCAGTAAGACCTGAGTTCAAATCTAACCTCAGACCGTCTGACCCTGGGCAAATCACTTAACCTCTATTTGCCTCAGTTTCCACACCTATAAAATGAGGATAACTCTTCCTTGAAGGGTTGTTGTGAGGATCAAATGAGATACTATTTGTAATGAGCTTAGTGCCAGTGGCCTGGCACTTAGACTAGGCACTTAATGTGTGTTTCCTTCTTTTCTTCCTAATCTGGATCCAGAGAGAGTTGCAAGTTGGGACCATCTTCCTAAAACTGACAAGTAAGCAGCTGTAGAGATCCTTAAAGATGAATTTGAATATGAATTTTTGACAGCTGACAGTTTAAATATTTATGTCTTTGCTTTACTGTTTTGTATCCTGTTAAAATAGCCAGCAACCCCAATGTCAAGCCGAAGTAGGGGAGGGATATTAATATAAAAAATAAGTAACAACTATGGAAAATGGATTTCTCCAGTTTATTCAAAAAGGACAAAAAAAAACTTCTTAACAATTAGAGCCCACTAGAGTTCATCAAATAAAGACTGGATGACGATATGTTGAATTCGTTGTAGAAGGAATTTCTATTCAGGGTCGAGTAATTTATCTCTAAGAGACTGAGATTCTAGAATAAGTCTGCTGTCAGCAAATATATATGTGTATACTGAATTTGCTATAGGTTCTTGGGGAATTTTTTTTAAGGGGATAGGGCATAAAAGTAGGAAAGACAGAATGGGATTAGATGAGATATTCTAAGGTCCCTTCCAGTTGATGTCTTATTGGCTCAAAGCACTTTCCCCTTTTAAATATATGCTCTTTGTGAAGAGGGATTTCATTCTTTTTATTAATATTCATTTATTTATCTAGCCAGCTCAATTTATCTTAAATAATTTAAATATAGTATAGTATCTAGCTTAGAGGAGTCTAGCACATTGTGAGGACAGAGCTTGTACCAATGGTTTTATCAGTACTGAGAGCTCAGGGGTGAGGGGATTCTTCTACCAATGCAAGTTGGTACCTTATTTGCAGTTTATAGTCTTGGAGAGTTGCTTAGAGCAGTGGTGTAAAACTCAAAATAGAAATCATATATAAGGATCCTTGCAGGGTACCTACTGACTTAAGAAACCACATATTAACATTATTTATGTTCTATTGTATTTTTATTTACTTTGATAAAAATATTTCCCAATTACAGTTTAATTTGATTTGGGCCCAGTCCTGGGTTGCAGGGTCACACGTGGCTGGCAAAGCCCAAGTTTGATACTTCTGGCTCAGAGCCAGTTAAGAGAAGTCAAGGCGGAACTTGAACCCAGATCTTCCCGATTTTGAGGCTGGCTCCTTCTCCACTATGCCACACTAGGCACTTAATGTCTGCTGATTTTGTTTCCTAGGTCCTGGGATGCGTATTTTTATATGTTTAGCTGTGTATTCACTTAAACTGGCAGGACTTGTCCATGAGGTGGAATTATGCAGAATTTCTTCATTCAGTAACCATTCATGAACATTTCTTAAATACTTAGTCTGTTTTGTGCCAGGCACTGTTGGTGATGCCAAAACAAAAGAATGAAACTATCTTCTGGCCTTCAAGGAGTTTATATTCTACTGGGAGAAAACAGCATGTACCAAAAAAATTAAAAATACAAAATATATGTGTAAGTTTGAGGTTCATGGATTTACTCAATCAAGCCACCCTGCCCCATAATAAAGTATGCCCTGATGCCTTAATGAGGTAAGAATAAGTTTCAAAGGAGGAACTCATGTGTCTTCGAATAGTCAGTGTTCATATAGTCTGAGGAAGCCTGGGGGTGATCTATAAATTATCAATTGAGTTGAGAACTGACATCATTCCAGAGACTGGAGCAAGTGTGACTTCCAGTTATACTTCCTTAAAAGAAACTGCTTAGGGAGGTGGAAATTACAAAAGATTTCCAATCTGGCTTTAGCCTAAGTCTCTCCCTCCCCCTTTTTTGTCTGGAAGAGGAACTTGAAAACTATGGAGAATCAAGAGGATTTTGGCCTTCCCATCTCCCTATCATCATCCAAGTCAAGGATAGACTGGACAAAGATTCACTTTGCTAAGGAGGAACTTGTTGAGCACCACATTAAAAAAAGGTCTTTTAGCAATCAAGAGCCATGAGTTACCTCTTTGCCACATGTGCTAAACTCAAGCCCCTTCTCCTTGGTGTCTCCCACCAGTAAATGTTTGTTACAGACTCAGGGTTGGGTGGGGAGTTTGAGAAGATGCTTTGTGCCAACCGTTCTTACTGTAACACCATACTGAATGTCCTCTCTCAAAACTGCAACATAATCATGATAAGAACACACCAGAATGAGGCTTGGCACCGACAGCATTAAAGGTGTTCTCCAACCTCTCAGGAGTACCCCTAGAGCCATGTAGGGATTTAGGAACTATTTTCTGAGGACCTGGCTAGTTAGGACAAGAAGGCACTGGGCACATTTGGTGGAGGAGGGGAGGGGTTGTATATGCCAAATACTTTCCCAGTGGTGCTAGTAAGGGGAGTGGGAGTGTGATTGGGGATCAGGAAAGGGCTATCTAAGGAAAGGTCTTTGAGGTGAGCTTTAAAGGAAGTTAGAATTCTCAAAGGCAGAGGTCAAGAGGAAGAACATTCCAGGTAAGGGGTATTATAGGCATATAGGGGATAGGGAGAAAGAACGTCATGTACTGGTAAGAGCAGACAGGCAGTCTGCCTGGAAGGTAGAGTACATGAAGGGGAGTAATATTCAATAAGCCTGGAAAGGTAGGCTGGAACCAGATTGTGAAAGGTTTCAAAAGTCAAACAAAGGAGTTTGTATTTGACTCTACAGGTAAGAGGGAACCACTGGAGTTTCTCGGACAGGGGAGTGGCATAGTCAAGACTTGTGCCACAGACATGTGGAATATCAACTTGATAGCTGTGTGGAAGCTGTATTGGAGAGAGGTGAGACTACCCTCCCAATAAAAGGCTACCAAACTGATATTCCTAAAAAGTACCTTCCCCCAAACTCAGACATTTTGATTACTGGGGACATGTCTTGATTTTGAGGACTCTACTTTCCACCAAAGATAGAGCTGCCTTCTCCTGATAGAGGATTGGGGAAAACGGACAGAAAGGCACACACTCTTCAATGAGAAAAGAAGAGAGGAAGGAGACACAAGACAAGGTTGGTAGGTGGTTAGTAAAGACCTTTACCCACAATCCCTACATATATTCTTGGTGCTAATACCTGTTCTCTTCATTCTTCAAAGACACCTGTGGTTTCTACAATGACCAGTGCAAAGGCTAGAAGTCCTGAAAGACCTGAGTTCAAGTCCTACTTCTGACACATGCTAGCTACTCAGCTAGACTAAACAAATCACTTAACCTCTTCAATGAGGCAGATAAATCTTTAGGGCTATAAATTACAGGAGAGTTGCTGATCTATAATGGTGGCAGGGACTTCCACTCCTGAAATTCCCTAAATGTAATAAATCTGAACCAAACATATGACATGACAAACTATAAGATGTTAGACAAACATAATATCCTTT